GAGAGTCAGTCCCGGGCTGCAGCAGCGTGTGTGCGGGGATGAGCCGGCCATGGAGCGGCCTCCGTGGGGTGCACGGAGCCGGCTGGCGCTGCGGCGGAGGTGCCGCTTGAGAAGAGGTTCCACGGTGCTTCGAAGCCTCGGGCGCCCTGGGTGGGTCTCTGCCGCCGCCTCCGGGAAGGACGGGAGCCCCGCGTGGCGGACACTGCAGCAGTCACTGCACTGAAGCGCCCCGAGACTGCTCTGCCCTGCAGCTGGGTGTGCTCTCGGCACCCGGGCGCCTTGCCCAGGGCACGGCGGCTGGCGCGCCGTGGAGAGCCGGGTGCGGGACTGGCTAGAGGGGTGTGTGTGCGCGCTTGTTGGACTGGACAGCCAAGCTAAAGCAGAACCAGGTGGACCTGAGCAGCCATGCTTCCCGGGGTGGGCGTGTTCGGCACCAACCTCACCGCCCGAGTCATCATCCCTCTGCTGAAAGACGAGGGTTTCGCGGTGAAGGCGCTGTGGGGCCGCACACAGGAGGAAGCGGAGGAGCTGGCCAAAGAGATGAGCGTTCCCTTCTATACGAGTCGCATTGACGAGGTGCTGCTGCATCAGGACGTGGACTTAGTGTGCATCAACCTGCCGCCGCCCCTCACCAGGCAGATCGCTGTCAAAACCCTGGGTGAGTGGCCCCTCCCCCACCTCCTCTCCTGCCTCCTCTCCTCGCCTTTCCCGCTGCTTTTTCTCCTCTCTCCCTCTCTTCCTCTCAGAAGCTTACAAGGCATCTACGCTGACCCGAGGGCCTGAGACCCCACATTCCGTTCGCAGCGCCCTCCTTCCTCATCCCTGGCCCTCAAAGCCTCTTTGCTTCCCTCCGCCCTTCTGGCTCCACCTGGACGCGCTTCCCCACGTGTGCGGCGCGGAGGCTGGAGGAGGCGCCTGCTCCGCGGCTGGGGATGAAGGCGCATCAGCTGTTGAGGACTGTGGATGGCTGCTCTGAGGGAGAGAAAACTAAGCCCCCAGCAGTGTGTGTAGTACCGGAGTATGTGCGTGCGCGCCTGCGAGAGGCGAGTGCGCGCCCCAGAAGGCTGAATAAAGGGCCCCACACACCTTTCTGGTTTCCCTGGGGGCGGTAGACCTGACGATTAGCAGCTGTGGCTCCCTGCTAGGGGTAGTTTGCTACTTTCCGCTATGAGTTAGTTTAGTGTGAAATTAGACGTCTGACAATTATCTCATCTTCGCTGAAAGCAAGGATAGCGGGAGTGGTTGGATGTCAGGGTTTTGGGGTATCTCCTGGGACGTCTTATGAATCTGGGAGGTTCATAGGTTAGTACAGACTGGTTGGATAAAACCAGAGAGTTTTAACTTTCGAGTGCTGCACCCCAGAATAGTCTGCGCAGATTAGGAGTCATAGACCTTCAGCTTTTAGGGCATGAGCGCGGTAGTTCCAGAGGCACAGAGGCTTTGTGTGGGAAAAGGCCCCACGCAGCCGATTTCACGAGGAGGCAAGCAGTAATCCCTCCTGAATTCCCATCAGGGCTGGTGTTGACAAGCGGGTTGGGCATGAGCTCACCGCCCCTCACCAGCCGGTCCCCCCACCTAACCCAGGCAGTCTGAACAATCTCAGAGTACGGTACCAGCATGCCTGCCATCCTCAGAGGAACAACTGTTTTGTCCATGAGCAGTTCTCACTCAGACCTAAGACAATCCCAGGGAGCTTGTCCTCGCTCTCCCAGGAAAAGTGTCGGAATTTTATTAGCCAGGAAAGAGACAAAGCACAGGATGTCACATGAGAGAAAAATTACACAGGGAGATTTGGGAAGGCACCCAGAAACCAATGGTAATTTATGTAATCTTGGACAGAATGTTTTATTTTTAAAAACAGGTGTGGGTTTGGGGTAGGTGAAACATATATTTTAATTCTGTCTTCAGAGACCTATGACCAGAATGTAGAAATCTCCCTAAAACACCATTCTTATCAGGCCATTCTTCTATCAACTCACATGGGACATCTGCTATAATAGGCTGCCCAAGGCTGTCAGTTTTCAGGTTACTTTTATTAAGCTTCTGACCCTTGTGGCTTGGTTTCTTTGGCCTTGAATTGAATGTCACTGGATTTTGGCTAATATTTTGTTTCTGTTTCATATAACGTATGTGTTGGGTAGTTAACCTCTGTGCTTACAGTGGGTCTATGCATATCAAATAGATTATAGCCATCCTATAATATAAATCTGTTTGGGCAATTAGTATAAAACAGGTCCATATTGAGCCCCATGTCTCCTAGAGGGCATATGACTGGCCATATCAGAAAGATCATGTTTGACATCACTTTTCCCTCTAGGGCAGCACAGCCCTGCAGGTCAGACCCAGGGAGCAGCCCTAGAGCTTGTCTCTAGGACAGTGGCAATTTGGGGAACAAGGACGTTTCTGTTTTCTGACCATCATGAGTCATGAGTGGGGGTACTTAGGTGATGAGTGGGGGGGGGGTACTGGTTTCAAGAGAAGCACAAATTATATATTTCTAGATATTTATTTTCAAAAGTCCCTATGATTTTTTTTTCTTGACAAGACTATTGCGAGGAACATCTTCAAAACCAAGCATAAGAGGCACAGGAAATACTAGTAGACTTGGTTTAATACTCATGCTACGGAACAGGGCTTTGATCATGTCTTCACGGCAAGTCATAGGCTTTTTTAAAACAAATTTCTGAGTTTGCAGGTAATTTGAAGTCATCTGTGATCATAGAATTGGGGAGGCATCGGATTTAGAGGGACGAGTTTAGTCTCTTTTTTTTTTTAATATATTTTATTGATTTTTTACAGAGAGGAAGGGAGAGAGTTAGAGAGTTAGAAACATCGATGAGAGAGAAACATCGATTAGCTGCCTCCTGCACACCTCCTACTGGGGATGTGCCCGCAACCCAGGTACATGCCCTTGACCGGAATCGAACCTGGGACCTTTCAGTCAGCAGGCCGACGCTCTATCCACTGAGCCAAACCGGTTTCGGCGAGTTTAGTCTCTTTCCAGACTTCATCTTCACGGGAAATTCCCTGGAGGTCACTCTCCTTTGAGTTGTGCTTGCGAGTACCAGGCGGGGTAGTAGTCCGGGTTTGCTTTGATGTCACGGTGAGAGGTTTGTCACAGGCAGCACAGGAAGTGAAAACCCCCGACAGTTATACAATGGTCTGGCTGTTGGGGGTTAATAGATGCTAGAGTTTGTCTGGACTGAAACAAGCCAATCTTGACTAGTCCTGGTGAATTGTCTCTTTGGCAAAAGCATGGGCAGCAATGGTGAGAGATCTGTTGTCTATATCCAGAATTGTCAAGGAGAGGGGTTGGTCTAGATATCCTAGATGAATAAAGCTTGGAATCAATTGAATAACAACATTATTTAATTTAAAAAAATTTCCTTGAAATCTCTATCTTAGTGAAGTAGGCATTTCTCTGTTGTAGAGACTTTTCTATAATGTATAATTTCTACCATGTCCAGGGCTGCCTCTTGTTAAGTACCTACTATGGGCCAGGCAATGTGGTAGGTCCTGTATATAAAACATTTCATTGCATGATTAAAATAATCCTCTCAGGTAGATATTCGCTCCATTTTACAAATGAAGCAACTAAAATACAGAGACTTAAGTCGAACTGCTCAATTACATGTACCTGGAGATTTGAACCCATCACTCTGCCTCCTCTGGAACTTATTTCTTCCTCTCCTATCCCCAAACTTGCTCCTTTGCCTCCGTTTCTTCTCTTAGTTAACGGGAGCCAAGTGAGATTTTGGGAGTCATCCTCTACTCCTGTTACCTCCCCTCGCCCCCACCGTGGAATCAATTCCTAAATCTGGTTGATGCCGACTCCTTAATCCCTCTTGTCTCTGTTCCCTCTTCTGCATCATTGCTTCTTCCACAAAAGGAACTAGGCCCTTAACTAGTTTGTGAATTAGGTTCCAGTTGGCTCCTCCCTACCCGTGCCTCTGTCCACTTTCCACCCTGCTGCCAGAATTATCTTGAAGAACTGTGGACCCGGCCTGGCTGGGTAGCTCAGTTGGCTAGAGCATTGTCTCCATACACCAAGGTTGCGAGTTCGATCCCCAGTTAGGGCACATACAAGAATCAACCAATGAATGTATGAATAAGTGGAACCACGAATTGATGTTTCTCTCTCTGTGTCCCTCTCCTTTCTCTCTAAAAATCAATAAATAAAAATGAAGGGAAAAAAAGGAACTGTGGACCTGATCATGTCACTGCTCCACCCTTTCATCACTTCTGGGAAAAGCCCCAACTTTTTGACATAACCGGCAAGAACTGCTGGTTTTTCTGGAACCCCATGAACTTTAGCTAACCGGACTACTGCTTGAATGGATCCTGTTGGATTTTATGTCCATGCCTTTGTCAGATCATGGTTCCGCCTTATGTTGGTGATGGATGCCTGTTCTTTCTTCAAGACTCAGTCCCAGTGTTACCTGCTCTAGAATTCTCCCCCTCAGTCCTGTCCCCTACATATCCTCTGTGGTCTCAGCACCATGGGCCCCCATCTTATTTTGCATCTATTTTAATGCATTGTTTAAATTTTAAATTTTATTTAGCTATTTAAAATAGGTTATATATTCACATGAAACAAATTTCAAATGCTATAAAGATACACAGTGAGAAAGAAAGACGTATGTGTCCCTCAGTGCCTGTCCTCAACAGAGGCCATTTTTATGTTTCCTTTCGAAGGTTCAAGGAGTATACTGGCAAATATATGCATGAGAATTTTAAAATCTTTTTTACACAATTGGTAACATCCTATTATATATACAGATCACATATATACACACATATACAAAAACAAGAGGCCCAGTACATGAATTTGTGCACAGGTGGGGTCCCTCGGCCTGGCCGGCGATCAGGGCCAATCAGGCCATCTCGCCCAGTCCCGATCAGGGCCATCAGGGCCAGCTGGCCAGGGGAAGGGACAGCGGGAGGTTGGCTGTGGGAGTGCACTGACCACCAGGGGGCAGCTCCTGCATTGAGCATCTGCCCCCTAGTGGTCAGTGCGCATCATAGCTACCGGTCATAACGGTTGCTTAGACTTTTATATAGATAGATATGTACATAAAAAAAACTCAGAATGTGAAAGTATCCTTGTTTCCATTTTTGGCTGCATAATATTTTATTGTATGGCTAAATCAACGTTTATTTAACCATTTCTCTATTACTCAACATTATTTCTAATCTTCTGCTTATACAAACATCGTAATGAACACACACCAATCCACTTGTAGGAAAGACATGTGAACTGCTGGTCAAAAAGCACGTGCTCATTGCATTTAACAAAGACAGTGCCAAATGAGGGGGCACCTGAGATGACACAGCTATCTCAGACCTCCTTGTGTGCCTCTCTCCTCAAGCCCCTTGACTGCCTGCTGCCTCACCTGTGTATCCAGAGCTGCCTGGTGTGCAGGGTCCAGCACAGCTCCCCAGCCAGCCTTTGGGGTCAGTCAAAACATGTCTCGGTTTGTCCTGCAGTGGGCTACTCCACCTAGATGATGCAGTGAGCCGCCCAACTGCCTCCTCATGTTCACTCTTGTTTCTTAATCAGGTTGTTCTCTTTAGAACACCAAATGGAGGACACCGCATCATTCCCTGTTCTGAACCTTTCAGTGGCTTCTGTAGCACTTGGAGCAACATTCAAGTTCTTTGTCAGACTTACTTGGTCTGAAATGGCCCTACCTAGTATTCTTTCCCTCCTCTTTGGCAACAGTACATTCTCCCAGGCTCACTACCCTCCAGGTACTTTGTCCTGTTTTTGTTCCTTAAACATGCCAACTCCTTTCCCAGCCCTGGGCCTTTACAAACCGGCTCATCCCCATGTCTGGGAGGTTCTCCCTCACTCCTTTGAAGCTTCTCCTTCACATATTCTCACTTTCAAGTTTCAGCTTAAATGTTCTATTGGGAGAGAGGCTCTTCTGGATCCTCCCCTTCCAAATCTTTCCGCCCCACCTGTCACTTATACCTCTGTCATCCTCTTTATCTTCCTGGTGACACTATCACAGTGTGTGAAGATCTCTTTCATTTGTTTGCTTCTTCTCTTACTTGCCATTTGTCTCCCCAACTAAAACGTAAGTACTGTGACGTAGAGCCTTTGTCTGCTTTGCTCACCAGGGAGACCTTATCTCCCCAGACAGTGCCGGGCACTGAGTCAGTCACCTCGTAGACACTCCATAAATATTTGCTGAGTGACAGGTGAATGCCTTTTCATTGAGTGAATGCTTGGGGAAGGTAAAAGGTTTTAAACAGGATGTGTCAGTCAGTACATAACATTTTTGTTCTGCACGCAATAGCCCAGTGCCTCTCAAACATTAACATGCAGTCACAGCACCTGGAGATCTTATCAAAAGGTTGAGCAGATTCCAGGTGGGACCTGAGATTGAGAATTTCTCTCCAGCTCGCAGGCGATGTGGAGGCTGCAGCAGCCAGACAGAGATGTGCTGGCTCTCCGCCTCTGGAAAAAGAAGTTCTCTACTGTGAGTAATGACCCTGGCAGGGGAACCGTGCTAAAATGCCTCTTGTCTTTGTGTGTAATGTGATCACATCTGTTTTCATGGTCTCTGCCCTGATATTTGGAGACAGTAATGCTGAGGCTCCCGGGGAAGCCTCTCAGTGGGATGGAAGGCTCCTTTGGGAGGGAGAATAAGGCTTAGGGTTTCGCAGAGCTTTGATATGGCCGCACATTGATCTTGCCCCAACCTGTTTGGCACCATCAGCTGAAGACCTGGAGAAGTACACCCTTTCCTGCCCTACTTCACAGTATCAGCAATTGCTCAAGGTTGAGGAGGGCCGCTGGAACAGGGGTGAGAGAGCAGGAGGAAACTGGGTTGAGTCAGGGCCCTCTGGTCATGGTTGCCACACTAGCAGAGATACGGCTGCAGTTAGATAATAAAACGGCGCATTTGGACTTGAGAGTAACCCTTCTGAAATCCCAGCAAACCCTGCATTTCTGGTCCTTCCTTGAAGTCTCTTCTTGAGCTCTTTCTATCTGAAGACTGTGTGGGCCAGGCGATTTCTGCCCCTGAGCACTGAGGGAAATGATTTTGGTCTGATGATTTGCTGCAGAGTTGAGGAAACCCCAAGGCATTATGTAAATGAAAGAAAGACTCTATTTACTGTTAGGAAAAGGGAAGCTTCACCACCCTCATCACATCTAATTGAAATTAGGTGCAGCTGAATGATAATTTTTGTTGATGGTGCCTGGCTTTGAAAATGTACAGTTGTGCAGAAGTTTAAACTGAAGTGAGATGAAGCCAAATGAAGAAGTTGGACATTTTGATACCTGAAACTGGATGAACCAAAAAAAAAAAAAAGTGGAAGTAAATAGCATGTTTTAACCATTTATATGCCATAAGTGTCTATAGACGCAAGTGGTGGACCTTTTTAAATTAAATTCAAAATATCATGGTAGTTAACTGGTTAAGGGTTACATACAGGCAATTAGTTATATATTTTGATTCAGGATAATTGTGGCCTGGCAAAGAGCCTCATTGTATAAGGTGTTGTGAATCATAAGACTAACCAATGAAAGGAAAGGTTGGCAGGTGACAACTGTGTGACATTGGGAGAGGTAAACATCCTTCCTGAGCCTGTTTTCTCATCAATATGATGGAGTTAAAGACCCTATCTTAAAGGGTTGGTGTGACAATTAAAATGGGTGAGGGTATGTAGAGACCAGCCATGCCCTTTAGGTATCTGCATAAGTTCAATAAACATTAGTTTTACTTCTCCCCAATGTGATCAATGCTTTAGCCTATTTCAAGTAGTGCTTTTGAACATATTTTTTTCTAATTTTCAGAAGAGATGAGTCCCTCCTGATAGATTCAGAAAATACAGTTGAAAGTTTTCCTATTTTTTAAAATATATTTTATTGATTTTTTTACAGAGAGGAAGGGAGAGGGATAGAGAGTCAGAAACATCGATGAGAGAGAAACATCGATCAGCTGCCTCCTGCACACTCCCTACTGGGGATGTGCCCGCAACCAAGGTACATGCCCTTGACCAGAATCGAACCTGGGACCCTTGAGTCCGCAGGCTGACACTCTGTCCATTGAGCCAAACCGGTTAGGGCAAGTTTTCTTATTTTTAAAAGGGAATGCGCATAAACTAAGTGTCAAAGGTTGTCTTGGCTCAGAATCCAGTATTTGCTTCACAGATATGTGGTCTAGAAGATACTGATGGGTTACCAGCAACTCACCATGCTCCTATGAAGATTTATTACTGTGAGAAGATGTGGGGCCATCTCCTGGAACTCAGGGGCAGGGATGTAACTGGGCCTCACTAGGTACATGGAAACCATGAACTCTGGGAATGTGACCGTTCTGTGTTCTCGTCTTCATGTGTCGGCTTTATCATTATCCCTCTTTAGACCAGCCTCCCCTGCTTCAAGGGCCCATGTGGTGGAAAGAACACTGCCCACACATAGCTCCCAAAGACAAACACCCATTCAACCACCTGAAAGTGCCACCCTGCCCCTGTCCCCCAATCCTAGTTGTCCCTGTGTGCGCCTGATGCCTGTTTCTGGCTGAGTCTTTTTGGAGGTTATCTCAAAATATGGGGAGTTTATCACAAAATGCCAAGGAAACCATTAATGTAGGATAGAGGGATTAAGAGTGGTCATTCCCTGCTGGGCCACACTCCACAAAGGTGCTGATTATTGGAACACAGACTTAGATGAAGATTTTGCAAATGTAGACATTTCTTGATTACGTAGGTTCTTTATCCGCTTTATAAAATACACATTTGGTATTTTGCTGCTTTTATAATGGCCACAGTAAAACAGTGGAATGATGCAATCATTTGTCATAGCTTTTATTAGTAAATTTAGGATGTATGTATTTTTAAAGTATGTGATGGGAAAGTCGAGAAACAGGGAGTTTTGTGGTTACCTATTGGCTTTATAAGCCTTTACCAAGCACCCACTGCATGGTGTGTGCCAGCAGGGGACTGAGATGAGGCATAGACGTTTGTGCTCAAGTCTCAGCACAAGGCCTGGAAGGAGCAGGAATTAGGAAAAGGCTCCCTGTAGAAAGAAGGATTTCAGCCTTCAGATTGCCTTTGCACTGGAAGCTATGGCATCAGTTCTTTCCTAGGTCTCCAGCCTGCTGTTCTTCCCTGCAAATTTTGGACTTGTCAATTTCCATAATTGCATGAACCAATTCCTTAAAAATCAACTTCTCTGTCTATCTCTCTTCATATATATATATACACACACACACATCCAATTGGTTCTGCTTCTCTGGAGATCTCTGACGGATACAAATTTTGGTTAGACCAAGGCCACCTGGCTAGACAAGCTGGGTGATGAGATAGCTGGCAGGTGTGTCACACAAGTGTAAGGCTGGAAAGACTTGTCGGTGGAGAAACTGTTCCAGTGAGTTCAGCTGGTGGGGATGGGCATTCACCTTTAGGAAAGCATCTCTGAGCATTGTCCTCTACACAGGAAGACCTTGAAGGCAGAAGTGCTTTCTGGTTTAGACTCAAGCCAAAAGAATGCTGGGAAAAAGGCTTCCACATCCTCACTGCTGAGAGCCATAGTGACCCTTCACCCTGAGCAGTTCTACACTTGTCAGCAGGGCTTTGGGGAGCTGGCCACTCAAGTTTGGGCAAGTCTGGAATGCCTTAGGGTTTAGACTTTCTTTAAGAATTGTTAATGGCCTGTAGAGCATTAAAAATAACTTTACATTAAAATTATATGGATGATATGTTTTTTTTAAGTTTCTAATTTCCAAATGTAATAGATCTTATGGTATTGAGATGATCTGTTACCATAATATCCAGAAACAGAAGCTGCAGAATTTTGAAGCCCCAAATTAAGTTTGTTTGCAACTTTAACAGTGCTTTTAAAAAATAGCTTTATTGGGATATACTTTATATATATAAAGTTTACCAAGTGATTTAGTGGCTTTTTAGTAAATCTATATAGTTGTGCAGCTAACTATACAAAAAGTTTTAGAACACTTCCAATGTCCCAAAAAGTTTCCTCATGCCTGTTGGCAGCCAATTCCCATTCCTACCTCTAGCCCCAGGCAACTATGGATCTGTTTTCTGTCTCTGCCTTTCTTAGAAATTTTATATAAGTGAAATCATAATATTTAGTCTTTTGTGTCTGGCATCTTTCACTTAGCATGTTTTTGATGTTCATCCATGTTGTTTCATGTATCATAAGCTTATTCCTTTTTTATCGCTGAGTAATATTCCAAGATTCCATTGTATGGATATACCATATTTTATTTATCCATTCACCATTTGATGGATGTTTGTATTGTTTTCAGTTTTTTGCTATTATGAATAATGCTGCTGTGAACATTTGCATACAAGTCTTTTTGTAGACCCATGTTTTAATTTTTCTTGTATAGTTATCTAGGACTAACATTGCTGGGTTGTAAGGTCTGTATAGATTTAATTGTTTAAGAAACTGCCAAACTGTTTTCCAAAGCAGCTGCCCATTTTATAGTCAAACCACCTATGCATGAGAATTCTAATTTATCTACATCATTACCGACACTTGGTATTGTCAGTCTTTTTTATTATAGCCAGTCTACTTAGTGTGTAGTGGTATCTCATTCTGATTTTGATTTGCATTTCCCTAATAATTAATGTTGTTGAGCATCATTAGCCAGGTGCTTATTAGCCAGTCGTGTATGTTTGGTGAAATGTCTATTCAAATCTCTTGACCATTTTTAAATTGGGTGATTTGTCTTCTCATTGAGCTGTATGCATTGGTTTTGTGATTTTGTTAAGTTGTTAAGTCAGGGGTAGAATTTTTTGGTTTTAAAATGCTTCCCTTTATTTTTGATTTTGGAACCAGATACAGTTGAAATAATCCCCCAAGCCAAATGAAATTAGCTTTGCCAGATATTCATTGAAATGGTTCATTATCTAGAAGAGCAAGACAGCCATGTGAGCGGATGCTCATGATGGGCCCCAGCGTTGCCTGGGGCCCTGACAATGCACGGAAGATTCTTTGAGGGAAATTTCCAATTTGAAGATTACCGGACATGCTGCAGGGTCTTTCAGTCACTTGTTTTGCACAGTGTCTGGACAGTGTTTCTCTTTTCCCCCCACTTATTTTTATTTAATAAAGCCTTTGAATGCTGTAGCACTGTCTTACCTGTGGTGGGAAATACCCCACAGAGTAAGATATGATTTTTGTCCTTCAGAGAAGATAAGCCTGCACCAACACAACAACAATGCAATGAAATATATGATTAACTACAGAATGAATCGTTATACTGCAATCCAGGAAGTGTTTGCTTAAGACAGTTGGGTAACCCAAAAATATCAGTATTGGATTAAGGGTCAACCACCTAGGTAACTTCCAGTGCCAACCAACAAAGGGTACTAAAACAAAGGGACAAAATAGAGAAAGGGTTTGAACAGAATTCCCCTTAAAGGCGTGATCTGTGTGTGAACGGGGGCCTTGCAGCAGAGCGAGGGCTTCGTCTAATAGGTGGTGAGTTGTTGCTAAGCTGCCTTCCAGAAGGGCTGGATCTAGTCTCTGCTGAGCTTTTGTTTTGCAAGTGGGGAACTTGAGTTTGAGGTTAGAGATAAAATGTTCGGGACTTGTGAGCAGAGGCAGCATGGGTCCCTGAGGAGGTGGCCCTGCAGAGAATAGTGCTGCCTAGACTAGACGCAGAGGAGTTCCTGAGAGCTAGCATGGCCCAGGAAGCATTTTGGAGGAGGTGGGACTTAAACTAGATGAAGAGGAGTTAGAATTTAAACATTGAGAAAGAGCACATAGAAGGCTCTGTGATGTAAAATCGCCTTCAAGGAACCATCTGGTTCTGTAGCAACACAGGGAAACTGTTTCCTATGGTCAACGACTTTGGACAAAGTTAGAGTGGTTTAAGAATGTACAAAAGTAAACTTTTTTCTTTTACTGAGAATTTTAAAAGATTATTTTCCCAGCAATTCCCTGCCCCATGCCCCCATCAGCCATAGTTCCACTTGCGTCTTTCTCTCCCCTCAGATCCAAGGGTGACTGTGACAGATGACACAGCTCTGGGGCAGGCAAAGGAGAAAGCTTGCAAAATTGCTGGAAAGAACCCCACTGACAGGGGCACAAGTGGCCACCTTAAAGGGTGTGAAAAGAGCTGCAAAAATTGAGTCAACAAGTAACATTGTAAAGACAAAAGCTCCCTGTGCGATGGGTCCGGGGCAGGCTATGGTGGGGAGGAGGGTCAGCTGAGGAGAGGGTGTGCTGGCCTCGCTCAGTTCCTGGTTTTGTGTTTGTGCCGGATGGTGGTGGAAACTCATGTCCCTTTGTTACATAGTTGAGTCCCTAATGGTCCAAGGGTCAGTGCTGGATGAAAGGCTCTCCTGGGACAGGGACACTCAGTGCATGACATGTGGACCTGCCATTCAACAGCAGGAGGTGGCAGCTCGTGGAGATTGTGAGGCTGCTGCCGAGTACTCTGCTGTCCTGGGAGGTGGTTTCAGGGAAACGTCAAGGTGGTGGAGTAAATAGTTCTTGACTTGGCATCATATAGTCAGTCGGCATGATGAGTGAGTGAGTGCACTGGGTAGGCTGCTAAATATTTTTATTTTTAACATATACATTTTTATTGATTTCAGAGAGGAAGGGAGAGGGAGAGAGAAGATAGAAACATCAATGATGAGAGAGAATCATTGATTGGCTGCCTCCTGCATGCCCCCCCACTGGGGATGGAGCCTGCAACCTGGGCATGTGCCCTTGACTGGAATCGAACCTAGGACCCTTCAGTCTACAGGCCGACGGCTCTATCCACTGAGCCAAACCGGCTAGGGCTGGGTAGGCTTCTAAAAGCTCCCAGACCGGACACACTGTGTATCTTTATTGCTCTATTCCAAAGGAAAAGTTCCGTGTTGAATTTGGTGTCACCCTGTAGAAAATAAAATGAGGCACTTTTTTCATCAGTGGAAAAGTTGACCAGTTTTAAGAGGCTGCCTGGGTTTGGATTCTGGCTTCAATCCTGCCATGTTCTATATGTCTGTGGGTTCTCTACTTTTCTGAGCCTCGTTTCTTTATTTTTAAAACAGAGATAATGAAACTACCTAGCTTCGAAGGTTGCTGACTTAAACAGGCATTTGTTTAGAGTGAGAGCTCAATAAACATGAGAATCCTGCTTAATCAGAACTTATTATGGTGAGCGGCTACTATCCATCCATTCATTCTTCCTTTGAGCAAATATTTATTGAGCACCAGCTATATACCAGGCACTCTCTAGATCTGTGCTTTACAATACAGTAGCCATTAAACGTACATAAATTAAAACAATAAAATAAAGAACCCAGTTTCTCAGTAGCCCTAGTCACATTGCAAGTGCTCAAAGGCCCCATGTGGCGGGCTGGTGGCTGCCATGCTGGACAGAGCAGCACAGGGCATTCCCATCATCGCGGGACATTCTATCTCATGGCACTAATCTCGAGGCTGGAGACTCAGCAGGGAGCATAGTGGTTACTTATGCTCAATTTGAACATGGATTTTTGAGAATTTCAGACTTTCGGATATGTTTTGTTTTCTCTCAGTTATAGGATGATAGGGCATCTACACGCTAGAATATTGGTGTGTCCTAAGTGTTTAGTACAGGTTTAACAAGGGATGGTCATTACTTTATTATTAATAAGAAGGAGATGTGTATGGGAAGTTTCCTAAAATCCTCATTACACGTTGGGAATTAATGACACTCCTGCCCACCTTGGGCCATCACAGGTACTTTAGGTAGCAGATGGCACGGATGAGGCTGAGTCACCAGAGCAGCTTTTGCTCCTAAGAGATTTTTCCTCAGCCCTCTCAGCAAAGCTGAAAGGCTTTCCTTCCTTTTGCCAAAAGCACAGAAGCAAAGGAGTGCAGTGGTGGGAGGGGACTAGAGGCAGGCCTTTGAGTCCCTTGAGAACCTGAGCGGACACTCACAAGCCGGTTCCTGAGGGAAGACCGACTTCACAGGACGGTTGCTTTCTACCCCGTTGCCAACACTGTGTGACTCTGGGGAAGGAGGGCTCCTACTGACTTCCTCGTCTCTCCGCTCCCCCCTTCTCTTTATCCAAGGGGAAAGGCTCAATGAATAGGCAATTACTATTTTCCCAATTATTATTGCTCCCCCCCCCCTCAAGTCCCATTCACATTGTGAGAGCAATATCCATTTGTGTGAACACTCACGACTGGAGTTCCAGCTAGTGGGCCTTTGCCCTGGACCAGTGACATTATGGACTGTTCTGTTCTCAGTTGTGGCTGCATGCAACATGGGAGCTTGGAGGGAGAAGTGAATGTGCGTGTGTGAGGGTGTGACACATAGCCGAGTGTGTCTCCACAGAAGGTCTCTTGACTGAAGTCAAGGTCAAAGTAAGGGTCTTGTGCTACTTGTTATTTCAATTTGCCATTGGTCTCTGGGCCTTAGTGCCATCTTCTTAGAAACCTCAGTGCCATGAGAGCCAAGTGGAGGAAAAAACGAATGTCAGACTGGAACGCAAAAGAGGAAAGATGAGGGAGAGGTCTACGTAAAGCCCAGCTTGTGCACCCATGGAAGCCACAGGAGCAGAAATAAGGGCAGCCAGAGGCCAGGGACACGGGTACCAATTGTTGAACTGCATGCCTGCTGTATAGAACTTCTCGATGGATCTAGAACATACATGTCATCTGATTGCTGCGACCACCTTTTGAGAGACCCACCTGCTCTTACACAAACAGTCCCCTTTGGTCCTTTGCCCTGGACCAGTGACATTATGGACTGTTCTGTTCTCAGTTGTGGCTGCATGTAACATGTGTACAATAAATCATCTCTTCTGTCTTAGCTGAAGAAAAAATTTCTCATTGGCAACTCCTCTCATCTCCTATGTGATTATGAATAATGAAAAGTGGGCGGTGGAAAATGAGATTCTTTCCCTGGCCCTGCCTCTTCCCCTTTTCCAGGAGAGCTAGGGCACCAGAGGGGAACACAGAGCAGGTATGAACACTGAGGGGAAAGCGCCTCACGGTTCTGTTTGCCTGAACGTCTGCTCCTTCTAGCACCACCCACGTGGGACATTTGTTTATGTCACACAATAATGCTCTCCGGGAGTCCTGGGGGACAGGTTTAGGGCCCATGGGGATGTAGCCTGTCTGACTTGATATGCACAGCCTTTCACATCTAGGGCACAGAGGCGGCCTGGCTTTCCCCGGGAGGCGCAGGGATACCACAATGCTGCATTTGTCTGGAACTGAGACTGAGATGTAGCTACTTGTGCTTACCCAAGTGCTGTGGGCTGTGGTCCACAGCTGCGCGCACCGGGAGTTCACAGGGGATATGCAGCGAGCAGCTGGCATTTGCTTTTCTCCTTTGCAGCCCCCAAGGCCAGGATGATACTGATAGCTGTGCTCATCCCTTCCAGGGCTGGGAAGGCCAGTGGGATTGCATGGGTCCATCCTCCAAAGGGGGCCCCTGCTTGGGTATTTGTCAGTTGTCAACTAGTTCATTTATATTCATCACCCATTTACTGAGTGCTTACAATGTGTATGGCAATATTCTAGATCAGCAGTCGCCAACCAGTGGTCCTTGAGGTCCGAAAGGTTGGAGACCGCTGTTTAGATCATGGGAGGTGAGAAGAAGTCAAAGATGTATAATCTGATATCTTCTCTGGAAGACCTTGTAATCTATCCAGAACCCACTCATCCCTTTGGAAATGAGAAGGACTAACATTTTACAACTACTTACTGTGTACCAGGTACAGAGTCAGGCATGCTCAGTGTCATCTCATTCCCACCTCCCAACCGGCCTTCAAGGTGGGCATTTAGCATGTCCATCTTACAACTGAGAAGTTTAGCTGGAGAGAGGTTAAATATCATTGATTCAAAGATATTTTTTCACACTTTATAATCTAAAATCGATTTGTCTTACGGTCAAAGTCATGTCATAATTTAATTGGCAGAGACTTTTCTTTCTTGATAGTCAGTAAAATAATTGTAGGTCTTGCCGAAACCGGTTTGGCTCAGTGGATAGAGCGTCGGCCTGCGGACTGAGAGGTCCCAGGTTCGATTCCGGTCAAGGGCATGTACCTGGGTTGCAGGCATATCCCCAGTAGGGGGTGTGCAGGAGGCAGCTGATCGATGTTTCTCTCTCATCGATGTTTCTAACTCTCTATCTCTCTCCTTCCTCTCTGTAAAAAATCAATAAAATATATTAAAAAAAAATAATTGTAGGTCTTTGTAGTGGCATATTTGTTTCTGAAAAATTGTGTATTTTGTCAGGTTCACCCAGCTGAAAAGAAGTGGAATCAGAATTCGACATAGGTTTTTCTGACTGTAAAGCTGTGTGTTTGTCCCCACAACATGCTGCAGAGTCCGTGGTCCTGGTTTGTTCTTCTTTGTCACTGTGCAAAGGCCGTATGCTTTTCACAGACGACGTATGAAAAGGGGGAAATGACTGAACTAGAGCCACGCCATCTAATTCCATAACCCAGGAGGCAGTGGCATGAGGAACTGCACGTGTCAAACAGGATGTTGAAAGATTGGGAAAAATGTTATTTAATTATCTTCCCTTCTCTACTGATTAGAACTCTTTGTTTTAAAATCCTCACCCAAGGATATGATTTTGTTGATTTTTTTTCGAGAGAGGAAGGGGTTGGGGGAGAGAGAGAGAAACATTGATGTGAGAGAGAAACATCGGTCAGTTGCCTCCAGTATGCACCCCAACTGGGAATTGAACCTGCAATCTAGGTATGTGCTCTTACTAGGAATCGAACCCACAACCCTTTGGTGTATGGGACGTCACTCCAACCAACTGAACCACGTGGCCAGAGCTAACTCATTTTTTAAAGGCCAACAATCAATGGCAAACTGTGGGGAGGTTAAGATAGAAAGAAGAGTACTGCTGCATTCCTTCCTTTGTTCCGGTGTGCTCTGCAGTGTTTGTACCTGCAGGGATCTGCTAAGGATGTGACAGAAGCCTCTTTACTGTCCCAGAGCACCATGATAGGAGACACAGACCAGCTCCCTCCCCCGCAGGACTGGATTCTGGGGGGTCCTCAAGTGCAGGCCTTTGTGTGTGTATCATTGTCACAATATGCTGTGGTCAACACTCCCAGGTATGAGGCAGGGTCTGTTGAATTCCACAGCTGGCCTGGATTCAGAAAGCGGTGTCAGGACGAGAGACTGCTGCCAGGGTTTGCGTACCCTATGCTTCATCTACACAGCCCCCCCCCGCTCCCCCCACCCCTCCCTTCTGGCAGGCTTTGAGAAGTCGTTTTCCTGAGACGAAAAGCAGCTGATGTGAACCACAGAGTAGAAAGTGAATGATCGGGCATCTCATGGAAGCGGGTGAGAATCGTGGAGGGAGAATACTCCTGGCAATCAGAACAGCAAGACAGGCCTGGAGGGACCTTTCGCTAATGCCCGAGGGAAACCGAGTCTCAGGAGTTGAGTGGCTTGTGGGTGTTCACACAGCCAATCCATGAGAGCCGAGCCAGGACCGGACTCTGGACTTTAGAGAGTGTTCCTTTTCCCTTCTCAGATATTTCGTCACTCGGGGCGTGCGTTTCTCCAACATTGAGGGAAACAGAGAGGCTGACTTCTGGGAAGCTCTCCTATGGAAATTACCTCAAATAATAACTGAAAATACCTGTGTACACAAGAGTGTTCAGTGAAATCTTATTTATGTTTCTGAAGCACTAGAAACAAACACGAATGGTCCACAGTAGGGAAATGGTTAGGAAAATATGGAAAATACAGTTGATTAAATGTTAAATAGCCATTGGAATGATATAAAGGAAGACTAGCCAATAGAGGGATTTTTTTAATGATATAATTATAGGTAAAGAAAAAGAAAAAAGAAATATTTGTATATCATGGTAGCCTTGTTTAAAACACACATGCCCAGAAAATTAAAATCTGATAGGTAATAAGCCCAAATGCTAATGATAGTTATTATGGGATTGTGGGATTTGATTTTTTTCTTCTCCACATTTTCAATTTTTTGAAACTGTGATCTGAATGGAAAAAATGTATTTTTCAAAAGAAAGAGATGATAATGTGGGACAAATTGTTTGGCTGGGGTGACTCTCCAGTTCTTGCATTCTGTGATGCTTTAAATCTGGGACAGCTGTCCCAGGCACCTGCAGACGTTATGGTGGAGCAGAAGTTAGTCTAGCAGTGGCCGAGGGGCACGGGGGTCCTCCAGGAAGTGGAAGTGGGTGTTTAAAGGTCCAGGACTTGGCTATTGTTCCAGGGGATGATTGGATGTGACTCTGAATTTGGGGACAAGCCGTAGGCTCTTGGTTGTAGGGTAATTTGTTTGTAATTCTAACCTTGCGTAGCCAGACCCACATGCCGCTGGAAAGGGCTGAGGGGGTCCCAGCCTGGCCCCTGCCTCCTGGGTGGGAAGAAAAGCTCTTGTTGGCTCCAGCCTTCCAAAGAAACGGGAATGGTGCGTTGCAACATGTCCAGCATTCATGTCCCCTTTTCTTTGCAGGGACTTTTCTTTTTAGCCAAACCTGTGCTGGTGTGGATGGTGAGTGGCTTCAGAACCCTTGTTCTGAGAAAATGCATCACGTCTGCCGGAACTGCTGCCTGGGATGGCGATGTGGGGCAGCCATAGGGTGTTGGTCTGGGAGCCTGGACAGGCTGTTCTTGTCCTGACACCACCAATAATTAGCTGTGTGGCCTTGGGCAAGTGACCTCACCTCTCTAGACTTTCATTTCCTTACCCATAAAATGCAGGCGCCAGAGTGGGTTTATGAGTCTCTGCCAGTTCCCACCTTATCCATGATTCTAGTCCAATAACTTACTTTACTTTTTTTTTTTTTTTTTTTTTAAGCAACAGACATTTATTTTCTCACAGTTCTGCAGGCTGGAAGTCTAAGATCAAGATGCTGGCAATTTTGGAATTTTCTGAGGCCTGTCTCCTTGACTTGCGGATGGCCATCTTTTCCCCATGTCCTCACATGGTCCTTTCTCTCTGTGTGTACACCAAGCATGTCAAACTCACAGCTGGTGGGCCGCATGCCTCGGCCCGCCAGCCGCGAGTTTGACATGCTTGGTGTACACCCTTGGTCTCTTTCCAGTAACTCACTTTAAAGACTTGGCACTGGCTGGGAAAAATGATTTGGTTTGGTAAATATTTTTAAGTGCTGTATTATTACCATTGCTGTCAACTGGTTGATCAGCCTTTGTGTGTGTGTGTGTGTGTGTGTGTGTGTGTGTGTATTTAAATCTGTTATACAAACACACACAGGTCTCCTTTATAGCAGGAAGAAGTCTTACCTTTATCTTCAAGGGAGGCGATGCTTGCATTCTGGGGACAAAGTGGCATGGATGGTGTGGCTTAGTGTGATAGCTGCTCAGTCAGCAGTTTGTGTGTACATATGTGTGTATGTGTGTATGTGGGTGTGCACTGTGCCCATGATGGTGTGGATTTTTCCTCTTTAATGTCACTGCTGAGAACACATCTGTATGGGTAGTTGCTACTACCCGCTGTCAAGCTAGGAGTTTAGTGGTGTTTGGTACAACTTCTGGGCACAGTGGGTGTTGGGGTTAGCTTTTCGGCAGGTGCCTCATTAAGCAGATGGTGCTCCACTGCACTAAGGAAAGATGTAGTTTTGCCCAAGAAGAACTACTGCACTGTCAGCAGCAGATCAAAGGGAGGTTCATTCCAAGCCACTCCAGACCAGAAATTGTAGTGGGGTCAGTCTACAGGAGACCAGAGGGAGGGAGGCCACAGAGAATCACCCTGTCACACTTGAGTCATTGGCTGGGTGCAGCCACTTGTCATACCAGTGTCCGTCCAAGTCGGGCCCCCTCTGTGTGTCGTCACCATAAAAGGTAGAGATGTGACATGAATGCATTGTG